TCGACCTCGACACCTCGATTTGAGTGCAAAAATTGCGTTTTTCGAGCAACGTCGACGTCGATTCGACGTCGATCGAATTTCATTTCTGGCTGGGATAGCCAAGCAAAGCCCCCCCCCCCTCCCCCATTTTTCGTCAGTGGCAGTGTCTGACACTGCGGAAGGGAAGGCCAAAATGTTGCCAACTTAAAAATCACCCCGCTAGAGCGCGCGACATGTCTTCCCAGTCCGATAAACAACATGGAGTCGCCATCTAAACGTTTAGCTTTTATCGCCGAACTTTACATACTATTTCGGAGTTGAACACTTCGATGGCAGTCGGAGCTGTTCTCGAAATATCATCTCCCACAAGTTTTGCTCGTTTGACCGCGGAATCTTGCATCGTCTTTCAGTAGCCAACGGTTTTCGGCTGCTACTAACCACATCAGCCTTTGAGGTTAAGTATAGCTATACCTCTCCCATGGCAAGGCAAACCCCCTGTTGATCCCGTTGTAATGTTGCACCACTAAGTTTATATGCACCCAAAGAGAATATGTTCTTTGAATGAAAGTAATTTCTTTGATCGTGTCCAAAGGAATTTTTGACTGAAAATCTGTCGTCGTGTCAAAGAATTCGTCATTGATACAAATAAAGTTCTCATGAAATAAAATCGAAAATTCCTTTGGATATAAGTCAAAGGAATAGCTTCGATTCAAAGAACACATTCTATGGGTGTGTTTGTGGCGGTTTGTGGCTCACCCCCAAAAATGTGTTCTCAATTCAAGTATCGTACTTAAAATTGTAAGCCCTTATTTTTTGTTTTAAGGAACAAATAGGACTTCAAACCAGAAATGAGGCTTAAAATTTTAAGTTTGATACTTGAACACACGAACACATTTTTTGGGGTGCTGTGTAGCCGTGTGTAGCCCTACCTCTCAGTTACCTCAGTCCCACCCCGTCTTTCTGTGAGTGTGCCCGTTCAAAGGCAATTTATCAAATTTTAATGTTTTCAGGTGTGGGCGGGTGTGGGTTAGAGTTCTGTAATTACTAGTGACCGATGCTATGTTTGTAGCTAATTTTTCTCCAGGACAGTTCACAATCAATAATGGGCACGCACAGCTAGAGGTAGCCATCGCAAGAGTCTGCCAGGTTTCAGGAATTTAGTCCTGCATACTCGTGCAAGGTATGTAAGGTACCTCTCGTCTCTTGTCTCCGCGCTGGCGGCGGGTTCAGTTCCGAGGGCGCGGGCTCGCCGTGCTATGCGGCGCTTGGAGCCGAGCGAGCGTGGGGAAGTGATTAGCTGGTCCCCAGCGCACCGGAGCCGCCGGCTGGCTGAGGGATCAGACCGGGATGTTGTAAATGAGGGATCGTGAGAGAGAGATAGGAGGTTGGAGTGGGCGTTGTTGTATACCCCTGTCGGTCTAATTAATTCCGACCTACACTCATCCGTATGGCATCCCACTCCTTCGCCCCCTGTTAAGGCTGGAACCTGGAAGCTCTGAAAAGTTTCCGGAAAATTTCAGGGAAAAACAGAAAATTTCGGGGGAGGTGGGGGGGGGGGATTTCCCAGATTTTGGAAGTTGTCCGTTTTTTCCGGAAAATTTTGTAAATTTTCAACCCTTCCCCCTGTACAGTACACTGCCCCTCTATACCGGAGTCCCCTGTGCGAGCGATACTCATACCCTCATACAAGCCTCTTGTACCGGATGGTTGACTTTCGTAGTTAGTGTATACTTACCGCACGCACGGGTGCGGGTGGCTTTGCCTGTCCTCGCTGCCCACGGCTACTCATGGCCCCGTGCGATTAGGTAAGGTAACCCACCCGCCCGCGTGCATGCGGTACCGTGTAACGTGTAACTACGAAAGTGCGCGGCGAGCGTCAGCCACCTGATACAAGACGTTGGAACGAGCGCCTCGTGCAAAACAAAATTGTGTGTGCAAATCGTGATTTGATTTTGCACGGTTATGTGGTGTCTAGCGTGCGATGCGTAAGCCCGCCTAATGTTCTCCCCCCTGTTGCAGGTCGCCATGCACTAGACCATGGACTCCTCGGACGCGATGCGTCGCCCCCGCGGCGCCCGGTGCGCCGTGGCCTCGGCCGCGGCGCTGCTCTCGCTGCTGTCGCTGCTCGGCCAGGTAGCCGTCGGCTCAGGCGTGTCGGTGCTGCCGCACGACGCGCAGCCCGGGTACACCGTCAGGCGCTTCACCCCGCCGCCCGTCCACGAGGTGACGCTCCCCGCCGTCCACGACGGCCTCTTCAAAGGGCCCTTCTCCATGCACCACCCCGGCGCCGTGGTCTCGGCCGGCGCGCCGCGCTCCCGCCACTTCCGGCTCCTGGACACCGGCTTCTCGCAGTACTTCGCCGTGCTCGACAGCGGCGAGCTGATGACCACGGCCGACCTGTCGCCGCTCATCAACAGGCCCGTCAACCTGGTGGTCTTGGAGGAGACGGCCAACTCGACGGCCACGCACACGCTGCACCTGTACGTCATGGACCGCGGGGAGGTGCCGCGCTTCCCCAAGGAGGTGTACGAGGGCGGCAGCATCCTGGAGAATCTCCCCGCCGGCGCGCACGTCGAGGGCGTGCCCGCCCTGGTGTCTCACGGCCACGGCGCGGGCGGCGCGCAGCTGCAGTACTCCATCGTGGACGGCAACATCGGTGGCGCGTTCGCGCTCGAGCAGGTCTTCGTCGAGGAGGACGAGCACCCTGGCATCCTGGAGGGCGTGGTCAGCGGCGTGCTCGGGGCGTGGCGACGCGCCAGCAGCACTCCCGTCGGCGTGCGCCTCATCACCACCAAGCCCCTGGACCGCGAGCAGGTGGCCGCGTACACACTCACGGTGCAGGCGCAGGACGCCGTCGGCGTGTCGCGCGCGCGCACGCAGGTCCGCGTCGCCGTCCTGGACGAGAACGACAACCGCCCCGTGTTCGTGAGCACCGACTACCACTTCTCCGTGTTCGCCGACAACATGACGAGCCCGCGCGGTCGCTTCCTCACCATCGGCCAGGTGGCCGCGAGGGACGCCGACGGCGACCACGTGGCGTACTCGCTGTCGCAGCCCTCGGGGCTGGTCGTCGTGGTGCCGCAGACCGGCGAGCTGCTGCTCGTGTCGGACCCGCCGCGCGACGCGGAGGTCGAGTTCTTCGTCGACGCGCACGACGTCCGCCACCCGGACAGCCTGACGGCCGAGCGGCCCGCACGGGTGCGCGTCGACTTCCACTCGGACCGCGCCGTGGACCTGAACATGGTGGACCTGCCCGCGCCCACGCCGCCGCCGCAGCACCGCGCCGACAAGCTGCGCCGCGCCCAGGGCCGCCCCCGCCACCGCACCAAGCGCCGCACCACCCGCGCCGTCCGCCCCACCAAGAAGATCGAGTTCGGCGAGTCGGACGGCGAGACGGAGGGCCGCATCGTGTTCGCCCTGGACCGCGACTCGGACCGCGAGACGTTCAAGATCCGCGACCCCAACCCGTGGGTGACGGTGGACGCCGACGGCTCGGTGCGCGTCAAGAAGAAGTGGGACTACGAGGAGCTGGCGCCCGAGAAGGTGATCGACTTCTGGGTCATCATCTCGAACCAGGGCGACGCGCCCGAGGAGCGGACGCGTCAGCACGGCCAGCACCACGGCACCCACGGCCACGGCCACCACCAGCAGGCCAACGCGGCCAGGCTGGCCGACCGGGAGAAGAACAGTGAGTACCACTTCATTTATTCTCTTTGCCCCGCGCGCCCCAACTTCGCGACCTCTAGGATCGCCGAACTTGAACTGCTTTCCTCGGAGTCTTTGAATAACAAACCGTCGTGTCGACCATGGCGCGCGCGACCCCAGCGGCCCAAAGTTGCCCCCCCCCCCCCTCTCTCCGCCCCGCAATAATTACATTGCTGCGGATTGATTTAACTGCAAACGAAGTTTTTGCCCGTTTTTGTCCCCGCCGAACTCGATTGGCGTGTCCGCTCGCCGCCCCTTGAGTGGGTCCCCGAGCCAGACTCTGCTCTCCCTGCTTCTCGAGCCTGGCACCGTGCGTCCCCGGCGGCGGGTCCCCGTGCGGAGTCTGCACAGCAGCGTTTCAGCCCCGGACTTTGGGGAGAGCGGGCTATTGACTTGGGACCCGGGCCACTTACTTGCTTGCGTATCCGATTTGGAACGACGCGGGCGTCGAACACGTCACCGTCTGAGTGAGATGGGGACGGCGCGGCCCCATAGTAGAGAAGGTGCTGGAGGTAAATCAGACCAGACCCCGCCGCCAACGCCTTTGTCAGGGCACTGAAGCAACTGAAGCAAGCAGTAGCTTTATTTTGAAATTGAACAAGTGTTGTTATGTTGGCTTTTCTAGCCTCGGCTGTTGCGCACGTCACTTGTGAAAAGTGAAAAGGGCGTAAGTCGAATGCAAAGTCCGTGGACTCACGCCCTTTTCCACTTTCCACCAGTGACGTGCGCCGCCCCTAGCCTCGGCTGCCTCAGTCCATTGTGCCGGGTGGGTTCGCCAACCCTGGCGGTCGGGGTCCGGCCGGCTGTGCGGGGATGAGCGCCCTCCGCCCCGCTGTGGGCTCCCCGGTAGGGTGGTGGTGGGGTGGGGGCCTAAGGCAGGACGATTGTGCCGGGCGCGGGGGCGGCGCGCGGGGGCGGCGGGGGCGCAGCCCGGCCCAGCAAACCGTCTCAGGCAGCGGAACGGCACGGGACGGGGCCGAGCCGAGCAGAGATCGCGCCCACCAGCCGAGCCGAGCCGGGGCAAGCCTTAGGCCCGGGCGCATG